GTAACTGGTAAAAGATTCCTTTTACTTTTCAACTTCTTGGAAGTTGAAACTCCTTTACTCTCACCGTTCCAACTACCCACTTAATGGAACCCGTGAACCTCCTCCTCCCCTATTTAAATCAAGATATGCCAATCCATTTCCATCACAAACAACTCTCAAAATATGAAAGTCTTCAAGTTCACTGTCTGAGAAAAACACCAAGAAAATATCCTCAATTGAGAAATTTCTTTTTCTCACCCTCATAGATGGCAATGGAGAAAAGCCTAGTGTGAAGGAAAGTAATTCAAAGTTTATGGTGCAATTCTCGGCAGTAGAGAAAGTTTATGGTGTAATTCTCGTATTTTTCAGGATTATACCATACACTTTCTCTGGAACAACACTCTCTCTATTTTTTTTTTCTTTTTATTTTTACCTTGATCTCTTTCCCCTCCCCTTTCCTTTCTTTACTTTTTCTAAATCTTTTTTTAGCAGTCCCCCCAATTTTCTTACAAGTTTTTTTTTGGGTGGTACCTCTGCTCCCTTCTCTCAAGGAGTTCTCAAATTTTTTTTCTAGAACTCTTTTTCAAAATTTCTTTTAATTTTTTTTTTTTCATCTTTAAAAACTTTATTTTATCTTTTTCACAATCAATTCTTTTTTCCAAAACCTTTTTCCTTCTTGTCATTTTATCTCTCTTTTGTTTTCTTATTTCATTTTTATTTTTTTTTTATTTTTTTTGAGAGATGTGTTGCTTCCTAGATCTTGGTTATCCACTTTGGATAATAAAGATCTATCAAACGCAATGCCAACCGCTCTGCCAAGCAGAATCTGCTGGAGCTGAAAACGGTCAATGGCGGAAGATATCACAAAATCTCAAGACAAGACTTGGTTTAGGAATTATTGTAATTTGAATTGTATCTGCTTAAGAGTTTTTGTTAACAAGCTGTATATTATGAGAAACTAAAAGAAAGATAAAATTAGTTCTCAGTACAGCGACCGGAACTCTTAAACACTTGTTTGTCATCATCAAAAAGGGGGAAATTGTTGGGAAAAATATTATAGATTTTGATGATGATGTATTTAGAATGTATTAGGGACTTTAGGTCTCCCCCAATATTCAATGTAATTTTTCTTTTTAGAAATATTGTCAAAACCAAGCTCTTGAGATTTCCAATAAAAGCTGTGATATTTCTTTAAGCGTTTTGATGCCTGAAGACTTAATCAAATTCAGTGATATGGAAATCGGATATCTCGTTCGGAAATGTCAGAGACAAGTAAGGATTTCTCAAGCAAACGAAAATCCTCTGATCCGGAAGACTACATAAGAACCGGATGTCTCGCTACAACCCGCTGAAGTCTAAGTCATCCAAATCGGAAGACTAGCGTGGATCTCTTTCTCACCCGGAAGTCTGGAAATGACTCATCCGGATTTGTCAGCTAAGAATCGGAAGACTCACTGAAGACCGGAATTCTCTTGATTTTCAACGGCTAGATTGAAGATAATTATGCTGATTCAAGAACAAATGACTCGAAGACAAAGTCTGGCCCTCTAAATTGAAGAGCCTGTCCAGAATTCCTAAA